TGGTGCAAATTACTGACCTCTGTCATCATTTTAGGTGGGGGAACTTGCACAATCGGTGGCTGACTAAATACTTTTTTGCCCCACTGTATATATATTTCTCCGCGGTTTGCAAGAATATTCACCGTGAGAGCAGAAAAAAGGACACAGACTGAGTGAGAGAGAAAGGAAAAAAGAAAGAAAGCGGAGGGAGTGTTTGGCCTACATTCCATCCGTTTCTCTGCACAGTAGGCCAGGCGATGCATGCAGAGCAGCTGGAGAGCTTATGTAACACCCCCCCCCCCTCCCCCAACCGTACTCACACGCACACACCCCACCTAACACTCCCCTTCTGATTTTTCAAAATAAAAGACGTGAATTCCCCTCACTCCTTTTCTCTTCTATCTCAGCAGCTTATGATCAGAACAACATTTGGTGTCCAGTCTCTCCTACTCTGAACTTTGTCTTCTTTCACCCCTTGTCATTGAAAGCACATATGAAGCAGTGCATCGGAAAAAAGCCACGTGACAGAGTAGTTCACATCTGCTCAGTTCATTGAATGGAGCATAGAGACACAGGAAAAGCAATGAAGACTATATTATTAAAAAGATTTCTACATTTTTAAAAAAATATATATATTTTTAACACATTTTAATCACCTCTCACGCCAGAGCACAGAAAGCTTAAGCACATCTGTTGCTACAGGCTGCTGTTATAAATCAGTGTCAGATACGGTCAGCTGCTTCACATTAATGCCTCCTTCACTGACTCCTCTGTTCCACTCTTATGAATCAAGCAGCAAATAAACGGACAGCACTCCTACAGCCTCGCTGTTTTGAGTCATTTCTGTTTCCATAGCAACGTGCTACATTCGCTCTCCTGCCCTGCAAAGTTGGCTGTAACGTGTGAACCATGCTATCAAACCAAGGACAGCATTTTAATATATTCTACGTGTGTCCTCCGTTTGTGTATGTGTGTGCGTGCGTGGAAAATTTCCTAGGTGGGCATGACAACTTCCGGAAGATGATTGACGAGGCTGAGCCACTGGGCTACCCGGTGGTAGTGAAGAATGCACGTGGCCACAGAGGTAAAACAATCACCCAGTACTTCCTGTCATCCATTCTGGTCACAACGCCATAACTCAAAATCTGTACACTGCAACTCCCTCATGGGAGCTCAGTCCACTCTTATATGAAATTCTCTGGCAGACTGTTAAATGATTAGCACTGCGGTGCTGCATCAAACACAAAACAGAAGCTCTTAATGCTTGCAGTGTGGTCATCTGGTCACTTATTTTAGTTTATGGTTAACAAGTTGATCTCAGTTTCCTCTTTTAGACTGAATACACAAGAGGCTTGTGTGGGAAGGTTTGAAGCTTTGGCATTAATGTTGTGCTTCCAAGAGATCAGCACCGGTCTGAACCATTAGCCCTTTCCTATTCATAGTTATTGACAGTCGCTGCTATTGTGTGAAGGAATAACAATGGTCTTTGCTGGCCCAGGCTGCCATCACAGCACATTGTTTAGGAAAGCAGTCACTGGTCAACCACTAACTTGACCCTTTTTATGGCGTTAGGCGTCTGGAGGGCTGTTTTTACTCTCTCTGTGGTTGACCATTGACACGAATGAATTCCACTTTGCCCTTCCCTCTCAAGAGCACACATAAAGGAAATACTTTTTTAAAATATTATGAATCACTGGTATTAATAATAACTTTATTTGTATAGCGCTTTTCAAAACACAGAGTTTGCTTCACGGTTTGAATAAAAGCCACAGACTAAAGATGAGTATACACATTCTGACATACAGACACATAATCAACCATAGGGTCACAGATTCATTCCAGCATGCACACTGCTATAGACCTGGGGAAAAAACTCCCAAAAATAATGAGGAAAAGATTAATTTAAGACTACTGACAAGGAGACCCTGATCTGATGATTTGAGAAGTTGGCTGCAGTGACAAGGTCTTAGTAGCTCTTCTATACAAGCAGGGGCCTGTCCAAGTAGGGCTTTAAAGGTTAATAATAGGATTGTAAAGTGGATTTAGTGTTTCACTGGGAGCCAGTGCAGGTAAACAAAAATACGTGTGATATGAGAGCAACAGCTAGTTTTTGTTAGCAGCCTTGCTTGGTGCAATCTGCAGCAACTGGAGGTGGGTTATGAAGGACTGAGAGGTGCATGTGAAAAGTGAGCTGCAATGTCAAAGTCAGGAGAAAAATGAATGAGCTTAAAGATTCAAAATCCTGGTGTTGGTCAAAGATGACACCAAGGGTCTCAGCAGATGTTTTGGTGTTACTGGCAAGTGGCCTGATGTACTGACTGACCTTCTCAGTATTTTCTCAGATACGTAATGGTCACATGTCTAAAGGAGTCACAAGACCGTTATTGATGTTGTGTTTTTATTGCGTGGTGTGCACAGACACACAGCAACCACATGATTTTTCCCTCAGCAGGGGTCAGAGGTCTTGAAAATAAGAAGACAGTGCAAAGCAGTGCTAATTAAGAGAGGCAACTTCTATCCTGTGTGAGAAGCAGTTCTGTGGCTGCTCAGAGGAGTATCCTGTCATTTGTATGACATGAACTGGCATGAGACTTGGTCAGCAGAAGCAGCTACTTGTTAGCCAAGCTTTTTAGGTTTTCCACCCTCAGCTAGCACACCACAAATGACAGACCCAGCAAGCAAATTCTTTTAGTGTGGTAATATCAACACAGCTATATGTCTTCAGGCCGCCATGACATAGATCTGTTTAGATTGGACAGACTAGTAAAATATAAACCTTAAAATCTAGCCCTTCCTTCCTTCCTTCCTTCCTTCCTTCCTTCTTTAATCTTGTGTCCCCTTTGCTTAGGCAAGGCTGTGTTCCTGGCACGGGACAAACACCACCTGACGGACCTTTGCCACGTGATCCGCCACGATACCCCCTACCTATTTCAGGAGTATGTCAAGGAGTCGCACGGCCGTGATGTGCGGGTTGTCCTAGTGGGCGGCCGTATCATCGGCTCCATGCTGCGTTGCTCCACTGATGGTCGCATGCAGAGCAACTGCTCCTTGGGTAGGCAGACATTAAATTACTGAATTATTTCCACGGTCATGGTAAAACTCTCCTCATGTTTGAAAGTCATGTGGTTAAGTGGTATCACTGTTTGAGAACAAGAGCTCTTCTATTTATTATTTACATTTAGATATGGTGTAATTTTTAAAGATCATTTTTATCTTTTAGGTTCCCAATGGAAAAATTATCTTTAAAAAAATATGAACTTAGTGATAAGAAATGTATACGCGAGTAGAAATGCTTCAGAACTTAACTTTGGGAAAGAGTGCGAAATCAACAGGCTTGTCCTGAATCAACCCTGGAGCGTTCCAGCTGAGGAGACTGATCTTCACTGTCAGAGGATGAACGTTTTAGTTTAGCTGAGGCTGTAATATACTGTGACATATTTAGGACATCAGTCATCACAGTCTTCTGCATTCCTGTAGCAAATCTCTTTGACACTTCTAGGGTGAATTTGATGTGGTATTTAATTGTGAAATTAAATATTGAAAATAACCAGAAAACATTAAAGGATCCTAAGTTGTCCCCACGTCATTTTTTAATATAATTGCTCTTGATTTATAAAAGATTAGTTGCTTTTTGACTATCATGAAGTCTCGTGAAAGAATTGTAAATTGTGGTTCGTACTAATAAGCCTGATGTTCCTTCTTGAATTGTCAGGTGGTGTAGGCATGATGTGCCCCCTGAGTGAGGAGGGCAAGCAGCTGGCCATCAAGGTGTCTAACATCCTGGGCATGGATGTGTGCGGCATTGACCTCCTGCAGCTCAACGATGGCTCGTTTGTGGTTTGCGAGGCCAACGCAAATGTGGGCTTCATTGCTTTCGACCAGGCCTGTGGCATGGACGTAGCAGGCATTGTTGCTGACTATGTCCTGTCAATGCTCCCAAACCGCCTCACTCGCAAGATGTCTCTGCTGTCCGTCGTGTCAAGCACCAGCGAGACCAGCAGCGAGCCCGAAGTGTGCAACGTGCCTTCTGGCGGTGGCTCGCTGCCTGAAGCAGTCTGCAACATGAGCGTGGGGTCAACTTCCAGCGAGAGCGACCCAGAGCTGGCCGAGCCCTCCCAGTCGTCACCTTGCCAGTCCACAGCCCCCAGCCTGCCTGATCTCCCAGACCTAGCTGATCCAGCCTACAACTTCAACACCCTCCTTGCCAATGAGATCAAGTTATTGACTGAGTGAGCCCAAACATCTTCATGCTCTCACACAAACCCCACAAATGCATTTCAAACACACACACGCACACTAATGGCATCAACATTCCTTTTAAAATTTCATATCAGTCCAAAAACCATGAAAACAGAAAAGCAAAGAAAAAACTAAAACTTAGCCCTTTTCAGACATGCAATATGTAAAACTGCTGGCTTCATCAGTCCGTTAAAGTGATGGCACCCTGTCATTTAGACATTACGTAACCACTCCTCACGGCTTCATTCAGACAGAGCCATGGTGTGTTAGATATTTTTGCCATAGAGAAGTACAAAAGGCCTGCCATTTTCTTCTGATCATTTAGTTCTTTTCAATGTTATCACTAACAGCAGGTGAGTGTGTGGTGCCAAAAACGAGAGCTCTCTTCTGCTCCTCCGGATTGGAAATTGCAAAATGAATCCTAGAACAATATTTTAATATTCATGGAAATTAGATTTTTACAATTTTTTTTGCCCAATGGGGCATTTGCTAGAAGGCTGAGCAAGTCATAAAGATGTAAAGCTACGAGGGCTGAGCTTGTCCGGTTACAGTTGAGGTTTTTATGTCAAAGTGACGAGGGTGCTCATTCACACTTGAAGGTGACACATTCATTTGCTATCAGATTAATGGAAAGAAGTGCATTTCTAAAAGGGGCTGTCCTGACACATCCATGGACACAAACACTAAGACATCTCGTGCTTACACAGAAACGGAGAAAACAAACCAACAAAAAGAGATCTGAGGCTGCTCCCCTGACTCTCCTCTCTTTGCATCTCTATTCCCAAAACCAGAAACCCCACGATCTAAACTTAAATTGCAGCATGAGGTTAGACTGGGATACAGAAATTAGTGCCAAACTGGCCTTTATGAGTTCCTGCATGGTGTTTGTGGATGGGTGAAAGCATACACCTGCCATGTTTTTAATCATCATATTATAATAACATTATTTTACATATAGTCTCTGTTGTCATATAAAAGGTTTTCTGCTGAGACTGCTGTCAGGTTTGGTGAATTGGAGGTGACATGAAGTGCTTTCAAGTAGTAGGGATGCTAGGCGCACTACTCTGTCAGTTCCAGTGCAGTGACGTAGTGCTCAAACTGAGGACACAGGAGAGGACCCGCAACCATCCTGCACTAACAGGAGCTGTAAAAGATTCATGTCAACAAGCATCAGATGTGTTTGGGTGGCAAAACTGGAATATAAAAATGAACTAACTGCTCAAATTTTAATTTGACATTTCTACATAGTATCTTTGTTTAGCCTTACCAGCAGTAGCAGTCTGCTGCTGCTAGGCCACTAAATGCCTAGCACTTTTATTATTTTCTCTCTCTCTCTTGTTAAGGTGACATATTTAGGAAAGGTTAGACAGAGTGTGAAAGCTGCATCTACACCTGCAAACAAAATATACCTCAAATAAGTGACTTCTCACTGCCATAGGATAACAGATATTCAGACATACAATACATATCAGCCAGGATCCTTGTGGTTTCAAATGGCCCCTGACATGCTTTATGTTTTTCTTTTCTTTTTATCTTTTATGTAAATATTTAGATAGTCAATTAACTTTACCATATATTTACACCCAGACAGATTAGACTGGAATAGTTGAAACAATCGCCAACAGTGGATTTTTTAACAAGTTGTGGGGTAACTCTTGTGTATAGACTTTCAATATTAAAAGGCAGAGAGTGAAATTTGGTGCTAAACTTTCTGGATTTGGTTAGATGAGCCTTCTCAGCGATATTATATGTAGAACTAAGCATCCTAACCCACAAAATAATGTTGGCATAATGTACAAAAAAAAGAACCCTATATTTTTAAAGTCTTCGTAAGTATAATTTAGCTTTTTTTCCTTTCCTGACAGAAGAAAAGAAAGGAAATCCAGGGATTAGAGCAGCTAAGACCTTTGTGTTTACTTTTTTTTTTGTTCCTTTGAATTTACGTCCTGTATGCCTCCTTAAATGAATAACATAGCTGTAGTGTGTGCTGCGGAACCATTCACTAAGATTTAATTTACAGGTATGATAAAAAGCACAAAAATGAACCCCAAAATTGTTTCACTTGGTGACGGTCATGTTGTTAGGCTTGTATAACGCTTTGTGCCGAACACAACTCAGGGAAGCAGCCTGGATCTCAGCCCTGACCCCCAAAAAGGCATGACACATCCATCCAAGCTAGAGACATGTCTAAAACATAACACATACCTACAAGCAGACAAAATATACATAAACAACAATGAAAAAAAAGGTTGTAAACTACAGTGTAAGACTTTATGGTATATACCATGGTTAACATGCACTTTTTTTTTCCTTGCTTGTTTTATATTGTTCCTCGTTTACTTCCTAATTTATGGTATTTTTAAAGAAAAAAAAGTGGTTTGTGTGCACTAATATTGTGTCAATAAAGTGAAACCGCTGTGAAGCTTGATTTTTTTTTTCTCCTTGTGTTGTGGGCCCAATTTACTAACTGTCTGGACTCTTAACGGCAGGCCCCTGCTGGAGGGTGCCAAATCTAAATCTGCCAGACAACCAGAAAAGGAAGCTTTTAAGTCTGCTGTCAAATGATCACAGTGTCTCCACTGAGGAAAACAACATCATTTACTCTACTGTGATGTTTGTCCAGTATCCATATGATCAAAGTATCTGACAAACTGTGAAATCCGCTGATGTCCACCCTCCTGATGCGGGAGGGCTGGTGGGTGTGCTCATCAAATCACATACTGACATAAATGCCTGTCTGGTGAACTATCTCCAGTTGTCGTCCCCCATTCTTTGAAGTATTTGTCCTTGTATCGAAACCTGCGTCATTCCACATCGTGTTCATAGGTGTAAATATAAAGATCACATATCTTTAAAAGACATGATTAGCTAGCCATAGGAAAGAGTGGAATGTTAATTTCTCTCTTCTGGCCCCTGCTTGAATTTGTATTTTATACATGATCCATCTAGCCAATGAAGGTTCACTTAACTGTGCTCCATTGACTTTAAGAATGCCAGTTCATCATCTGGTTTTCTTTGGGAACACTGTTTTAAGGATCATTTGAGGTCAAGGTCCCAATTCTGACTGATTTCTTTATGCTTGGTCTGTATAGATTACTGTTATAAAGTAAATAAACGGCATGGAAGCTACTGAAAGGAACAGGGGTACCACATGCTAGCAAAACAGGGAAGGAAACTGATTGGCCTGCATGAAAGTTGGCCAGTTTGGAACAAACATGTAGGGACCTGTGGATGAGTCACTGTATATAACAACAGTGCACAAACTTAATATTTAATTCCGAACTGCTGCTAATGTATTCAGAAATTGAAAAAGGGAATATGGGAAAATCTGAGCGTTTCCGTGTTTGAAACTGAATGCCAAAAAAATTGACCAACAACAAATGTTTTATTGTATAAATTCAGTGCAAATAACACAAGTAGTGAGATGATTTTAAAACGGATTTTTTTTATATGAATGATTGTTTCAGAATTGTACATATTGTGTAAGATCTCAGCAATTAAATGTCTGTTCTGACATGAATCTTGGGTTTGCTAACAGGTTTACAACACTCTTTCCACTGCAGGAGGACGATGCAATGTTTTTGCCTCTAAAAGTGCAGCTCTCTTGACAAAACGCAGACACTGGAAATCTTTAATTATGTCTGGATTTGGTGAATTGGTGTAGAGACTCCGGGTTGCTAGGTACAAAACAAGCAAAAACATTGCATCACAAAGGCTTGAGCAAATGCCCTTGACCATTTTTGTGTTCCATAACATTTTGACAGTGTTAAGAAATGGATCCCAAAAAGATGCAATTCACTAATGTTCAAAATGATGTATATATATCCCTCTTTTTTTTTTTTTTTTAGATCAAAATAAAGACGAGTCATTATCCAGAACAACTGAAAATGTGTCTTTTTTTTCTTTTAACTACATCTGTGCATCTATTTTTTAATCCACTCTCAATAATACTGTACAGCATGTGGAAAATCTTGCATTTGATTGTATATTTTCATCATTGTGGGGCTGCACAAATATCCTTAAAGAGCAGATCTCCAAGCAGAGCGATGGGCAGGGCTTAGTACTGTGACTCCGCAGAGCCAGGATGTGGGACTGTGTGGAGTATCTTCACCAGTTGCAGCAGGGCCTGGATGGGCTCTGTCAGGTCATGGTCTGGTATCAGCTGGCTGGCCTGCAAGGCTGTGCTGCCAAATCCCTGCGCCTGGCACACAGAAACAAACACAGCAACTGCAGCTGTTAAACCCTCCCGAGAGAGTAAATCTGCCTTATATAATGATATCACTGAAATTGGACCGCAACCCAGTTGACTTATTTACCCCACTTTACCCTTTAGTAAGCTGGTCTGCTGGGCTGTTATGTTATCCCCAATAATTAGGAACGTTTTGAGCAGCATTCATAAAAATAGCTGCAATTTGTTAATAGGGGTTTCAGTATTATATAGCCGGGTCAATAACACTTTTTTTTGTGGTAATTTTGCTTCCATTCACTAGCACAGTGACTTTTAAAGCAAACAATGAAGACGTGACTGATGTGCAGACTTTCAGCATTAAATTGAGGGGTTTATCCCAAATACTGCATTCACTGTTTTAATGGAATTGCAGCCATTTTTATACCCAGTCCCTCCATTTCCAGAGCCTCAGTAACTGGACAAATTACTGACAAACAGTTTCATGCCTGGGTGAGGCCTGTGTTCTTTCATGTTTTCTGGATCTAAATATCTGAATTTGATTTTCAGATTTTTCTGAAAATAAAAATTAAAAAATATATAAAAGTAGATAGATGAAAGCAAGATAAACCAGAAAGATGAGAGGAGAGAATTATGGAAAAAGATGGAAACAGCCTGTGACCTGAAGCATACCACATCGTCTGTCAAACACAGTGTAAGTGATGTCATGGCATGGGCATGTATGGCTGCCAGTGGAACCAGGTCATTGGTTTTCATTGTTTATGTGGCTACTGATAAAAGGAGCAGGATGAATTGTGAAGTATATTTGCCCATACTCTCTGCTTAGATTCAGGCAAATGCTGCAAAACCAATCAGACAGCTCACAATGGATAATGACCCCAAAGCAAACTGCAAAAGGAACTCAAAGAAATGAGATATTACTCAGTGGCCAAGTCAAGTCACCTAATTTAAACCAAATAGCAAGCGTTTCAGTTAAAAATGTATCCTTATCCAAAAACCTGGACATAAGTGCATCTACCCTACCCACAGCTCCCTCAATACCATATACAAAAGCTGATAAGACTACAGATAGGCTCTGTTATCTAATGTTCAGAGAAACTACTTATATTTTCCTCAAAATAATAATGCATCCAAATCGTGATAACTGCTTGTTCTTACACTGATGTACTTTTACAAGTACAGCACTAAGACAAAAACCCAGAGACCTGTAACGTTAACATTACTTTACACAATACCAAATGTGAAACAGTATCACTCTGTAGTGAATACAAGGAGAAAAATCATGATTTAACCAGGGTACCATGGCACACGTGCACACACACACACACACGCACACACACACACACACACACACACACACACACACACACACACACACACACACACACACATATATGGTTGGTGTAGCTGTTGATTGAGTAAAAGAATATCTAAGTGCACTGGATCTTGCCCTGCCTATAAGCCACAAAATAAAAATAAACGCTGTGAAAAAAAATCCACATGTGTATCATTGCTTGTTACATGCTTTATCCTATGTTTACTTGACCTTAGAAGTAGGATCCCATCAGCCATCCCATCCCGTACCAGCCTGATACATAACGTGTTTTGCTGTTTGCTGTGCACATAGACCGCTATGGCTTTATCTGCCTTGTCGCCTGACATCTCAAACTGGCACACACAAAGAGCTGCAGCTTTAAGAAGAGACTGGAAATCAAGGCCGCAGTCAGAGCGTTGAGACAGTCCCATTAGCTAGTGCTAAGTCCCACCTTATCGTGAGACTTAGCAGTAGACAAATAGAGATAATCCCATCTTCAGACAACACAAGTAGGAAATAGGGAAATGGGGAAATGGGTCACGGTGGCAAACTAAACTTCTAATACCTCACCAGGTGGCTCACCTTGAGGAAGTCTCCTCCTAGGAACGACAACATGGCCAGGCAGTGGGCCACCACTGCAATCCGTGCTGGGTCTTTTCTGGTGTCTTTCTGCTCAAATTCCAACATAGTTCTCAACATCTCATCCACTTCAACTCGCTCGGCTTTGTCTGATTGAAAGGCATGGACACAAAAAAAAGCATGTCGTCTAGTTTACTGTGGTCTCAAACATGCTTTACCACCTCAAACAATGAAAGAAAGCAAGTGACATGCATGTGTTCAAGTTTGATCAAAACATGTATGTCTGTGTTGTCCTTGTAAACATCCCAGATAGCATGGGAAACTGTTTGACAGGCTTAGCATTATATGTAGGGCAGCAGCTGTGATACAGGGCAGTGACATGGATGCTGCACAGCCACAGCAGTGTCAGCATGGGTCTCTAGTCAGCTCTAAGCAAGCTTGCATAAATCTGGGGTTTAGCTTTCACATTGCACAGCAAGACACACTCCAAATATAGAAGTGTCGACCTTATTTTTTCAGTGACACTCCAGTGGAGCTGTTGGCTGTTGACAGTTTGGAGCATGAATGATGGACTGGTGATGTTATTGTCTGATTCTGCTGAACCGCTGAATCGACTAGATTGGTTTTATAACCTTTTTATACCATATATACAAAACATATATGCAGAGTGGCTGCAACAAACCATAAAAGGAGTCCACCGGTGGATTTTGGATGCTTTCTTTGCGAGTCTCGAGAAGTCTGGTCAGGTGACGGTGCCAAATACGTGCCACCTACAATATGAGCAAAAGAATGTAAAAGGCATAGAAGATAAATTTAGTCTCAAGGGCAATGAGAACATAACTGACCTCAGAGTACAAGGAATGAACAGTGGATATCTTCCCCTGCTTGGTAAACACATCAGCCATGAGAAAGTAGCCCCGAGAGGTGACTGTGCTATCCAGACCATACTCCTCAGTGGCAAAGTAGATCTGGGGAAATCAAGTTATATACATACTGATGCATACGACACAAAACATGTGCAAAATGCTTGTTGTTCCATTCTCTGTTAAAATGATCTCACGCTGCTTAAGTAATGTTGAGGTCCAGGTTTTGGGGAGGCTAGTCCGTAACTGATCTTGTTCCATTGTTTGTTGTTCTAACCAGGTTTGCTTTTACTGCACTTGCAGTGTGTTTGAGCATCAATGTCATGCTGATAAACTAATCAGACACTTTCCAGATGCTTTTGAATGGTGGTATTTGACTGCTATCATTATTCCATCAATTTTGACAAGATCCAAATCATTGCTCCACCATGTTTTACAGATGGCTGTAGATACTCCTCAGGTTTTTCTCATTGTTTCCCTTCCTTAAAAATTTCGGCTTGTCAGCCTTCAACTGCAACTATTTTCAATGGTTGATAAACAGTAGATGGATCAACTCAAGGGCCAGATGGTTCTCTTAGGATATGTGACAAGTAGATCGTTTTTCTAGGCCACTTCTTCTTTTGAGTTCCCCTTTTCCAGTTTCCTCATTTTTCTTTTAGGACACACAGCACATCAGGACAAGATATGCCAAGTTTTCAGCTCTTCAGAAATCACTTTGTTAGTGCAAAAATACTATTTTGTGCCTCCCACATTGTGCTGTCTTTGGCATTTTTCATAGCTTCAAAAATGATGTGCTTTTGTGAGAGGCTGCTAGTAACAAAGTACCTGGACAATGAAATTGGCTCTTTGCTAAGTTGTCTGCTTTGTGTAGATATAACACCGGTTCATATCTTTGAGTTAGGTGCCATTGTTATGCTTGAATGATTCACGGGTCAATGTTAAATGGCTTAACAAACAAGCAAAAAAACCCTCATTCTTGTGAGAAGAGTCAGGTACAAGGACTGGATTAAAATGAGTAAAAAGAAAACTTTGAAAACTATTGCTCAACATCCCTTTAAAATTCCAAGAAACTCTAATTCAATACACAATACTGTATCGTACTCAAAAAAACATGCTCGAGCAATAAACAAGCCATTATGGATTTCATTTGGTTAGCAAATGGCTTCTGCTCCTCACAATATCAATAAAGTTATGAAACAGTTAATGTGCTAATTATGACACAGACATCATTTGCAAAGTTATGCAACGCAGTATCCAGGTCTCCAGCCGCCACATGGAGGCGGCCCAGGCTCCTGTGGAGCTGGTGGTGGATTGTGAGACCACATTTTGGACTCTTCAACACTGCC